ACCTTGATTAGCTTGTTCAGGTGTGTTTGATTAGGGTTGAAGCAAAACTCTGCAGGGCTGCGGCTCTCCAGGACCGATGTTCCTGGAGATAACTAAAAAAAAAAACCCTGATATAAACTAAAAAAACTAAAGTATCCAAAAAAACAAAAAATCATTACAATACAGAAGGTCAAACATGCTAATGATAACTGTCTACAATAACAAATAACAAATAAAACTAAATATAAAATAAGTATTTAATTGTGTGTCTTCTTTCATAACTAAATGTATGCAGTAAGATTAATGTTTTATTTTTTTTGACATACAAATATGAAATGTTGGAAAAATGCAATGATTCTTTTAAATATGAATTCAAACCACCGGTAGGTGGGGGCAAGTCACGGTCTTAATGAGTGTGTCATTGATCCTTCGGAGGATGCGGCCGACACGGCCTTCGAAGGACGCTCCGAGTCTAGCCTTCACAGGATTTCCTAATTGTGCCAGCATGTGTTCCCGATTAATGCTCCTGCAACAGTGCGACAAGAGAGCTGCCATCCTGAGATTTGAAATGAAAAAATAACTATGGAGCCTGAATTGTTAGTTTTTGACTGTATTTATTATACCTTATACTCAGCGTCGGCGCCACGGGGGGGCTGAGGGGGCCCGGCCCGGCCACCTCGGCCACTGTGCCCCCTCACCTCTGGTGCCGTCTCCGTAGTGGGCGCCCTGATTTTAGTCGGTGAGGCAAGGTACTGCCCTGGGAAGGTTTCCCAGGCTGTTAAATACACAGATTAAAAGCGAAATGTTTTCATCAGCCCATCCAGATCCAGCAGCACCACCTCATCTGAATAAAAGTGTACATCTTTTTTTTCTCTCAATCTTATGTATTGTTCATTTAATTTTTGTTGTTTTTTCTGATGTTGAATTGAAGCAAATTTCTGTCATTTAGAAATTATAAGTTGCTTTGCAAAAATAAACAATGTTTATAATTATTTCTTGTCTTTTATTTACAAGTTTCAACTTATAATACAAAAATAAAACAAACAATGCACAGAAATTACTTCATTTACAAATAACTAATCAAATTACAAAAGTAATGTACAGAACAACTTTCATTTCTTTTTTAAGTTTCCCAGCAGCCCCATTTTCTCCAGAACTGTCCTAAAACAAGACAAAAGGAAAGACTTATGAAAATTATTAAGACAGGACTGCAAAATATGACACAGCAGGACATGCATACAAAATACTCCAGAAATCATATTTCTGGATCATCAAGTGTGCTTAGAAAGTTTGCGGACATATCTTGCATGACAGCACTAAAATAATAACAATAATAATAATAATAATAAAATAAAATAAAAATACAAGTGAAAAAAAATACAAGCTATTTCAGTACATTCAAACACAATACTTACATTTATAGAACTAAGTGTATTTGTCGGCCGCCACAGAACCGTCACCCACTTTGTTTGAATAAAAACCCCGTCTTCACCGGTGCGCTATGAATTCTGGGATAGGGTAGACTGCGAAGGATCCACCGGATGTATCCTTCATTTGCCGGAGAAACGGAGGACGCATTTGAAGTTGCGTTCGAATTGCGGCAACCTTCGTTGCGCCGTGGTGATGCAATCGGCCTTCAAATGCAGCCTTTGGAGGATGCATCGTGAATTGGGACGGCCTTCGTCGCGCTGCCGTGACGTAATCGGCCTTCAAATGGGTCCTTCGAAGGACGTAGCCTATGAATTGGGACATAGCTAATATCATTTTCATTGTGACATCAAACAACAGTTCTTCAGCTGTGGGATCATAAATGAGCTCATAAATCAGACTCATAGCTGTGATTCGACTGTAGGTAATCAGTACCAACTATAGTTAAATCAGAACCAATAGGCGCTATCTTAATAAAATAAACAGCATATCTGAAGTTTATACAACTACATTCTCAACTAAAAAACTACATTGCATGAGACCGTTATATTAGTATGTGTAAAATAAATGTGTGCTTGCTCCTCCGTAATTGCCACTGTGTGGATCCAGTGCAGTGATACAAACTGTTTATATTGTAGTGCATTTGTTCATAGTTAATATATATTTATATTAATGTATTTGGTCGTTTTATAATTAAAGCCTTTAATCTTTTTAAATGGTTGTATTTGTGTTTCACTGCTGAATTACATTTACCAGTTTCTGGGCCAGATTTGGCCCCCCAAGTCTCTTAAAGTGTCTGGACCAGACCTGGGCCACAAAATTAATATATCACTCTATAGTTTCACAAGTTCACGCTTGCATATAATTAGCTTATGGTAATGCATATTTGGCATGCTGTCCAGGGAAGGGCTCCGACCTAGAGTCAACCCCTTCAGTCCTTTTTGCTTCAGTTTGTTTCTTTTGTCGTGCACCTGAGCCCTAGTTTGGGTTTGTGAGATGCGCACCTTTTTTTATATTTAAAAAAAATAATCACCACGAGCACCACAAAGATCTGCTGTCTGTTCAGAAACAAGCTTCTTCAAAGTCTCAAGTGAACCTCTCCGTTCTTTTTTTGATAGCCGATTATTTTTGGTTTTATTGAAAATGTCGTCGTCTTCTCGACTTCTCTGGCTGTTGATACAACTCAGGTGAATTACTGCCACCTGCTGGAGTGTGGGTGAACACTTTACAAACTCTAGCATTCTTCCTATTGAAATCCTGTATTCTTCTTCTAATAATAATACATTTTTAAAAAGATCATAATACAAACTCAGTTAATTTTAAAATATTTTTAGATCACATGGGTGTTAAAAGAGGTCAAAGAACATTGAACAGGACTTCTTCAGGTTATATTTGAACAAAATGCATTCAAAAATGCATATTCAAATGCATATCAATAATCATAGACCAAAAATGTTAATAAACTGACTGAAGACACTTTATTTGTGTTTTACTGCTATTTATTGGTTGATGTGTTTAAAGCTCACAGAGTTTCTCCAGGGTCTGTCATGATCAAATCTTTGTCAAAATGATATCTTCACATGCTGAAGTCACAGTGATAAACACACGTCTGCTTATGGTGCTGATTGTCAGTGCTTGGAGACGTGAGCCGCTCTTACGGAGACGCCAAACCAGTTTCGGTCTCTCCATCGGTTCGCGTCATCCTGCAAGTCAATGGAAATAAATGCATGAAATAGTCTGCAGTGAGCGCATGCCTGCATTACTCATCTGAAATGTAGAAGCAGCTCTAATGCTGCACTGAAGCTCTAGAAAAAAAACTGTAGCAGGATCCGAAGCGTCTCATCTCTCATGAGGACCGAGAGAAGAGAACAGAGACCCTGCTGTACTGTAGCACACATCCTACACCCCACAATGCACGACAAGCAACGCAGGGCTCTAGTTGCGTGCACATGCAAAACTAATCTGGGCTTCACAGGGTTAAACAAATGCTAATTATGCAGATATCACTATGTCTATTAACATTCAGTCAAAGGGAGATTTTCAAACTAAAAAGAAAAAAAAAAAAACGTTTCTTTACAAAGTTCCAGGCTTTCATTATAAATTCATTGTATTATATTGCAGTCAATTTCTCACATAAAATGATATGCGTTTAACCGACTCCGCATTGTCCTCGTGGTAAACACGTGGTGACTGCGCTCCTGTCGCATAAGTCCAAACATTTATCTAACTCCGCACTGTTTCAAGATCGTACAATATATTTCCACGGTAAACAATATTATAAAAACAACCACAATACCTTAAATAAATCAATGTTATCGAGAAACTCCAACGCTGCACGTTTCCCGTCGCGCTCTTGTGCGATGAAATGAAACTCGCCAGCTGACGGTCGGAGCGTAGAGACGTGCGTATTAAAGCGTGGCTCATTAATATTAATTACGCAACGGGACGTTCACCCAATAGGATTTAGCTGGCGAATTCATTCCTATTTAAATTTCCCCTTTATTTTTTAACTTCAAAGTGCTTTAGGGTGACTATAATATTCCCAATGCATCAATACAAAGAAGAAGTAGTACCCTGAAGTAATGGACCCTGCTGCCATGCGTGGTGAGGCTTATGAATATTAAGGACCGACCGTATGATCTAATTAATTTTAATGAGCTAACCCACTCTGAATAAGTTTTTCTGGACACTGGGTGTCGCTGTGAGCGTTTCACACTGTTTTCTTGAACAGAAGAAGAAACGGACGTCAACACGATGTTGCGTTTAGTATGATTTACAATATTTACTGTAAAGCATGAGGCAAAAATAATTGTAGGTGACTCGTTCATATCATTATCATCATCAGCATCATCGCTTCACTAATGTTAAAGATAAATCCGCGATCCTGGAACACTATCTATCTATCTATCTATCTATCTATCTATCGTTCTATCTGACTATCTATCTATCTATCGTTCTATCTATATCGTTCTATCTGACTATCTATCTTATCGTTCTATCTATCGTTCTGTCTATCGTTCTATCTGTCTATCTATCTTATCGTTCTATCTATCGTTCTGTCTATCGTTCTATCTATCTATCTATATCTATCTATCTATTCTGTCTATCGTTCTATCTATCTATCTATCTGTCTATCTATCTATTGTTCTGTCTATCGTTCTATCGTTCTGTCTATCTATCTATCTATCTATCTATCTATCTATCTATCTATCTATCTATTGTTCTGTCTGTCGTTCTATCTATCGTTCTGTCTGTCTGTCTTTATGTTCAATACATACATGCACAATTTATAAAAAGTATATATTTGGATCCCTTTCTGTGCTTTAAGTCTGTCGTTGTTTCAGGTGTCTGTCTGGAAGAATCTGTTCGGGAAGGAAGCAGATAAACAGGAACAGGCCAATGACGAGACAAAACCTACTACATCATTGAGAAAGAGCCTGTGATCAATGCCTTTATTTCTGTGCCTAAAGAGAACAGCGCGCTGAACTGCGCCGCACTCACGGCAGGAATCCTGGAGGCCATTCTCACTCACAGCGGCTTCCAGGTGTTGTGCCCATTTTCGACCCCCTGCCAAATTATTACCCCTCTCGTTTAAATCGCTAACTGATTGCCTAATCCTAACTCCACCCCTAATCCTAACCCCACCCCTAATCCTAACCCTAAACCAATACTAGGGGGTTAATAATCTGGCAGGGGTCAGAATTGGGCACAACAGTTGTGGCGCACTGGCACAAGGGAACCATGCTCATGATCAAGTTTGATGAAGCTGTCATAGCCAGAGATAAACAACTGAATGGAAAGTAGGAGCTGGGTGTTTCTGGGTGGATTTTTATTTTATAAGTGTACAGATGAACATGATTCTGGGTCTTAGAAATACAACCTGTCAGCTGTGATGATGTATCAATGCTGTGTGAATGATGATTGTATTGAGAGCACTTAAAGTGATCAAAATGATGTGTATTTATGGTGTTTATAATCAAAATGTTTTTAATTTTCACAGTTTATACATCAGATGTTTCCTATTTCTGTTCATTCCCATCACTTTCTGGTGTGTTTGGCCATAAATTGACTATATGAACATGAAAATGAACATCAAAACAGTTGTTCTTATTTCTTTACTGTGTTTTGTTTAGTTATGCATGGTTGAAAATACAGTGGGGTCCAACCACCCCTTCGATTTTTTTTTTTTTTACGACTAATCAAATATATATAAATGGGGTGTCATTGATCATGTGATTTTTTTTTATTTTTATTTACCGGTATTTATTTTTTTGCACAGGTTATTAGAATTATTTTTTTCATTGAAGCTCAAGATTCTCTTCTCAGTTTATGCTGGAGAGCGTGATCATGTTCATGTGTTGTTCATGTATAGCTGCAGTGCTGCTGTCATTAAAGCGAAAGAGGCCAGATAAATAATTAGACATTCTTTACATAATTTACATTTTTGATGAACGTTTTCACTAAAATGCTGAAATATTCTAATTAGATTCTAGATGCATTTATGATTCGTATTAATTTAGAAAATTATAAACCAGATAAGTTATAAAAAAGTTATGTTATGAACGTTCCATTAACGTTATTAGAATGTTTGTTCATTATTAGACATTCTAATGTTATTAGAATGTTTGAAAGTTTGTTCAAAGTTATATGGTGAAATCAGACTTTGTATAGCTATGACAGGAAACACTGGCATCTAACAATGCTTTGGAAAAAACAAACAAAACAAAAAAAAAAACAGTTAAACTTAAAAAAATAAAGCATATACATAAACCCAAATGGTAAATAAAACAGTTATCAACTAAGCATGTGTCCTAAATAAGACACAGTCCTATCTGTCTCCTGAAACATTGCGGTCTCATATTTTAGAGCAGTCAATGCAATTTGGGAAAGAAATCAATCAAATCTGTATGTGTGTGAAATTATTCAGATGTAACCCCTTAACCTTTTCATAAGTAACTAATTGAATTACACTTTTTTCTCAGTAACTGTAACAGATTACAGTTAAATTTACACTGCTTATGAATGCTTTCAAAGTAAAATGTGACTATTTCATATTACATTTCTATTGTATTATTATTATGTTTCTATTATTATTCATATGCATACTGTATGATGCATGCTGTGTGCTTGCAAAGACCTCGCGCATATCTTGAAAGGGCCGCTGCGGGACATTTATTTTGACAGCGCTTGTGCTCAGAGCGTTTGTGTTGTTTTCTGCTTGTGCTCAGAGTCAGACTGCAGCGATGCGCCTCATCCGCGTCTGTTATTATTTCATAAACCCATCGATCATATTGTCGTGATTTATCTACCAATATCTGCTTTTGCTCGTCGATGGTCGTAATATGGCGAGCTCTTTCTCCAGAGCTTCAGCTCAAGGGGCCACAGGTTTGATATTATATTATTAATCTGCGTTATTTTGATTATATCTCAAAATAAATGACTGAAACTGATGTGTGTATTTTTAAATATTTATGTGTGAGGTTGAATTATCCGGTCTATCCTATATAACTAGCCTGATTGTCAGGATCAAGCAGCAGGTTTATTTATAATCCAAACACTTAATATTAAACTGTTAAACCATTGAATAAACCTATTTAGTCGTAGCATCACATGGTTATAATAATAATAATGCTTAATAATACCATATTTAATACTGATAGACAATAAATATCCATTTAAATCCTCTAATAAAAAATATATGTTATTCTTCTAGATTGAGCACTTATCCTATAAATATTTTTAGTGGTGCCAAGCAATTAATCGCGATTAATCGCATCCAACATAAAAGTTTTAGTTTACATAATATATGTGTGTGTGTACTGTGTATGCATGCATATATTACACACATGCATGTATATTTTTAAGAAAAATGTTTTGTTTATATATATCATTAATATTTATATATAATGTAAATTATATGAATATAAATATATACATGTAAATACATGTAAATATTTTCAAAATATATACTGTAT